GAGATAAAATTATGAATTAGAAGAAGAAATTAATAAAATTAAAACAAGAATTAATGAGAATAAAAAGAATAGAAATAAATAATTAGAGTTTAAGAAAAGAAGAAATAATAAAATGAATGAAATAAATCAAAATAAAAGAAGAAATTATATAAATAAAAGAATTAATAAATAGATTAATATTTAATATTATTTGAATCAAATAATAATAAATTAAATAATGATATAACATAATTAATCAAATAATCAAATAATATATAATATTTAACATTGAAAATACAAAATAAAATTTAATTATTAATAATTTTAAAAATAATAAAGTTGAAAATTATTAAATAATTCAAATTCATTTTATTTTCATTAAAACCAAAAAGAAAAATATCAAATGAATAATGAAATTTGATTTAAAACATTAATAATACATCTATTCTATAAAATCAAGAAATATTATAAAAATAATAATAAAAGAATACCCACACAATAACATATTATAACTTATCATCATTTTCATATTAAAAATTATTAAATTCACCATATTTTACTTCTCTTCATTATATTTAAATTTATTTTTGATTCTTTATCTTTTATTTGCAAATATAAAAATAAAAAAGACTATAAAATAAAATCAATAAATGATTATGAACATTTCATCTATCAATAAATGAAATGATGAATATAAAAATGTTCATATTTCATTCTTGTTTTATTTAATTTGAAATAATCATATTCAATGTGTTAATTTAATAAATAATAAAAAGAAATAAGAATAAAAGATAAATAAAAATATGATAAAATATTTATTTTATTCTTTTTTATTTATTTTTTATTTTATTTATATTATTTTATATTTATTTATTTTATTCTTCTTCTTTTATCTTTATATCTATTATATATTTCTTATTTTATTATTTATGTTATATTCTTATATCTTTTTATTCTTATTTTATATTTATTCATTATTATTCATTTCATATTAACAATGATAAATAACAATACAACATATAATAAATAAATGATATAAGATAAACAACAATAAATAATAATAAAATATAAACAAACAATATAAACAAATATAAAATAATAAAATATCATCTAATATAAAATAATAAGAATAATTATATCTTATTTTATTATTATATTCTTCTTCATATTCTCTTATTTTATTATTTTATACACGATTTATAAAAGATCAACATATGAAATAATTTTCCAATACAATGATATTACTATGATATTGAACAAACAAATAATTCTAAAAAGTGATTGACAATAGATTAGATATATATATGTAATAGATAAAAAGAAGAAAATTAGCCTATTATTTGATATGAATATTATTGAAGATCACATGTTAGTGGTGTCTATTTAAAAATAATAAGCATGTATAAAGAAATAAAAAATAGAATAAAAAAGAGAAATTAAAAGATGTAAAATAAATCAGGTAATAATATCTATAAATTAATTATTAAATACACAAATTATTAAATTAATAAAAGAATTAAAAATTGAAATTAATATCATAAAAAAAGTTAAAAACATTGTAATAAAAATATGAATGATGTTATTGATTGTATTTACCTTAAGCAAACATACTCTCTAGAGCTTCTAGAAAACGACTCAATAATGAGATTAGTCTCCAATGATCTAGGAACAATTGATACAAGTTCTATTAACACTAAACTATTTGCTTATTATTGATATACCAAAAGTAGTAGGATGAGTTTATAATGAAAAAAATTATAAATAAACAAATTAATTAAATTTAAAGTTAATAAAAAGTATTTGAAATTTTGAATTATCAAATGTAAAAAGATGTAATCAAATAACATTAAATTAATTATTCTAAAAACTCTAGAAATAGATTTTTCACTATGAAATGAAGAAAAAATATGTTTTGAAGTTCATTCTTTTTTTTTTTTTAGGATTCT